TTGCATGATGGGATTCGAGCGTCCTGCYTTTCGGAAGGAAAKGATTGGTCTGCACTGGCCRGTGCGAGTTRCCAAAYGTCGTTCTCTTTTGTAGGCTACCGTGTGTTCGTATGTGGAGGTCAGGCCACCGAGCTGTCGGACGGGAGTTTGTCACGTCGGTTGATTAGTAGCATTCTTGTTCGAGCAGTGAAGGGCTTCGGCTCGATGATCTGCCAGACGGGGTGTGAAATCTTCTCAGGCAAGGCTTAGCCTGTTGGCTGGCGGAGGGAGTACCACTGCATGCGGACAAAAACGGAGCCTCAGAGACGATAAGTAGCTTCTTGTAGTATGGTTTTGGGAAAGGCTGATTCTTGTCGGTCCGATGGAAGTGAATGCCCGGACGGCTGACTTTGTCCCTGTATTTAGGCACTCGAGGTAACCCTCGGTGTCGGTATGGATGTGCAAAGCGACAAGACGGGATGGGGTATTCTGGGTAAGGAGGAAAGGGCGAAAGCCTTGCCGAGACCTGGGTACTGCACTCGCGACGGTTGAGCTGCGCTTGAGGTATGGGATAAAACTCTACCGATAGTACAAGTGGAGAGACCATATTGGGGATGGTCGGTGAGGAGATGACCGRCTTGTATGTGAGATTGCCTGATTTTTTTATGTGTCCCCCCCGTAAAGATTGATTGAGCTTGGATTGTTGGACGTGCATTCTTCTAAGTCTATTCCCCCTCCCTTCTAAATCCACACGAGTAAGTGATGATCGGAAGGAAGAAGGATAGAGGTCAGTTGGAATGGAACYAAGAGAAAGAATRTAGGCAAATGGATGGCCGGCCGAGGGAATTATGGGAAGGGGGTACTTAGGAATGGGAAGGTAAAATAGGGAGACCTTAATGGGGGGTCTGGAATAATCCTCATTTAGGAACAAGGGTTGACCTGACCAGAAGAAYCGGTTGGTACTCTTTCATGAAAACAGGGGCCGGGTGCTGGAAACAAGATGGCGCGATGGTTGTCTCCCCCGACTTATACCAGCGGTCCAGAGATGCCAGTAGACGTAAAGGATGGGGTGTCGGTCGTCCTCCCGGAAGATGGGGCGTGGACGGACCTTGAACMAGCATATCAAACCGTGATGCTGGATGGGAAGGACGCGTTTCTATGGATAGAGACGGTATGGGCTAATGTTAGCTTGACAAGGTTGTCGCCAAGTTTAATGGATTTGRARTTCCGGGGAACAGTGGAAGCTCGGGGGTGGGTCTACTTGTCGCAAGATGGGGAAAATGCTATGGTCATAGAATTGGCACTCGGGAATAYGCCGGACGAATTGTTTAGGAAGGCRGAAGCAGAGGTTGTGTGAGCCGCATGTCAGCGAAGGGAGATGGAAATGGAAAGGGTAGATRTGCGGGTTGAACTTGGGGATAGAGGAAGCATGAGGCGAACCGTAAGAACCATGCAATGTGTGCTGCCTCCCTTCTTAGTGGATGCGGTTTTCGGAACTCAGAGCAGGCTAGTATGGATATGCCAGTCCATGACGCACCTCGGGCTGTACCAATGCGCCAAGCAAGATTTTTTTCGGTTATCAGTAGAGATGGGGCCGTTCGAGGGGAACTGGGCGGAGGAGCTGGCCGAGATACTAAACTGCCTTAGCATAGACAATACCTTTGTCCCTAGCGCTGTGCATTGGGGGATAGTCTACAGGAATGTGGTAATAGGGGAGACGTTTCTAGATGGGGTATGAGAGTTGGTATACGACGAGGAGGACGACTTCAGTGATGAAGACGAAGATGAAGAGATAGAGGACTGAGACTTCTAAGAAGGGTGGGATAACTTAACTTAGGAAGGACGGGTGGTCTGGTATTGTGCAGGAAAGGTAAGGATGACTAGAGAAGAGATGATGATGGGATACACCTTCAAAGGTTGGGAACCACGACGACTCAGAGGAGGAATAGAAATGCCTATACCGATAGAAAACGGATGGGGGGGGACCACGTGCGACTGGATTGGGTTTGAGGTTTCCCGGGACTTGTCATATGTATGGATAGAGCGGATTTGGAACCCGATAAGAGAAGAGGAAGGTTGGGATGATATAGCAGAAGGCAAGGTATAGTCAGTCGGAACGATTGTCCTTTCCGAGGATGGATGGCACCTGTTTTGTACTATGTTAGCAACAGGACAGGACCCAATGTGGCTTCTAGGGGACGCAGAGGCCCGAACCCGAAAATAAGGCAAGAGGTTCGCCAATGAGGGTTGGGACGAAGTTAGTAGCAAAGTTGTGATGGGAGGGTGGAAAGGACTCAGGCCTCCCTGCCTGCGCATAACAGCCTGGGTACCCGAGTTCGTGGCCGATTGGTTCGGGGGTCTTGAGCACAAAGCAGACGTAGCCGACTCCATGAGGAAAGTACACATAGGATGTGTCTGGCTGACCAATGACTTCTATAGGTTCTCCTTAAAGTATGGACCCTTCTACGGGGATAAAGCCGGTGAGGTCATCACCATCCTGAGGATAGGTAAATACGACCGCCTAGAGGTAAGCGCGGAAGCTTGGGACGCCACAGTCAGCCGGGAGGCGGCGACCGCGCCATCCTATGTGAACGATGTCTTTATGCTGTTTGAGGTGCGGTGGTTTGATTAAAGGGACTCAAAGTTCGAGCGGCACAGGAAGAACGAAGTATGAAGGAGGCATGTGAATTAGGGTGTAGCATAAGAAAGGGGCATGTACATTAGTCAGCAGGGGACGCGAGGAGGCCGAAGTAAGGACAGGCATGGAGACAGGGTAATGGCGGGAACCAGTGTACGATAAGCAGGGAGGGCCGAAAGACTAAAACACGAAAGGCATGGAATCTCGGTGGATGCAGCAATCGAACTAAGGTAGCGGGAAAAGAGACATTGCAAGATGGCCTAACGAATGACATTCTGGGAGGATAGGCCTCGCGGGATCCTACCACCAAGAGCATCGGGGGGCAGGGCCGAAATAAGCCTGCCAGCAAGAAACGTGGTAAGTAATCTGGTAATGGATTGGGTGGGGGTAGAACTGGTAGAAGACACGGTGTACCTAGTAGTAGAGCTGGAGTGGCGTGCGAGAGGAGAATTCGGAGGCATAAACTTGGATCTCTCGGGGCGCGTGCATGCGACGGGATCCTTACACCTATCGGAAGAAGGATGGCGGACCTTTGGGATTGCTTTGGCTTCCGGGGATGACCCCGTGCGAATGTTTGAAGGAGCATGACAGATAACTTGGCGGGAGGGGTTTGAGTTCGCAGATTCAGAACGAGACGACGTGGCGGCTGAGGTAAAAGTCGCCGCAGCTGGGGCCTTTGAGTTACCAAATGAGGTCGTACGAATGAGTCTGCCACCCTTTCTACTAAGACGACTAGGGGGCATAGAGCGAGTGGAGCAGGCGGTGACTGTCGTAACTAGGATAAATTTTGACGAAGCATTAATGTATCGAGAATACTATCGGGCCTTCCTAGAGATGGGGCCTTTTGGGGACGAACAAGGGCGCGAGGTGCTTTGCATTCTACAAGCAGCGGTAAATACTAGGCCAGGAGTCCCACAAATAAGTGATGAGACCCTGTGGAGAGTCATCCGGCGAGAGGTAGGTCGGGGCGCGACCTACATAGATGATCTCTACCGACTGTACGAACAACCAGAGGAGGCTACTGCTCTCGGGGGTATAGAGGGATAGTTGGGACTAGAAAAGAGAAATGAGAAACACGAAGGGCAAGGGAGGCAGTAGGTGGACGGATTTTGAAGATTGGCTGTAACCCTTTCTATGTGGACTATGCAGGGAATCACCAAGGTAACAATGGCAGCAAGACGTGAGCGAGTGGAACGCCAGCCTCGTGTGCGAATGGAACGCCAGCCTCGGTACCCCGAACCGCCCTGGAACAACGGCGGACGATGGGAAGTATCCCTCCCGTCGAGTTCTACCTATCGGGGGTTCGACACAGAATGGCGGGCCGTGACTTTGGGAAGGGACGCCGCCTTCATGTTGGTAGAATGTCGGTGGACAGGGATGAGACTCAATCGAGGACCCGGAGACGATCTGTTTTCCAATCTGGAAGTTACCGGGACCATGTATCTGCCTGAGATCGGTTGGCACTCGTTGGGGGTAGAGATAGCGCAAGGTCACGAGCTGGCACCGGTCTTTCGGAGGGCCACCCGGACGTTGACCCGGATAGGACAATCAGTCAGGGGTAGAAAAAACGTGGGCCTACTTACCCGGGTGGAAATGGGAGGTTGGAGGGAATTCAGGGTACCAACCACACCGCTTAGGTGCCGAGTTCCCCGTTTTATGATAGACCTCATCTTCGGGAGCCTCGCACGAGCGCGGGAGCTCGCAGACTCGGCAATAGTCTGGGCGGGACACTTCCCCTCCCCTACCATTGGGATGTTCTACGATATCGCTGTGGAACATGGACCCTTCTGGGGAAACAGGGCCCACGAGTTACTAGAAGTCATCCACATCTTGATGTTTAGGGCGCCACGACTAGACTGGGCGGGATGCAAACGCATAATCGAAAGAGAAATCGAGATTGGAGAGAGTTATTTAGCAAGGGTGGTTGAACTATTCGAGGAACCTACCGAACCGGAAGAGCCACGAGGGCGAGAACGAGACTAGCACCCGCAGGCGAGCCAGTAGGGCAAATCAAGTACAGTTCGCTATGTTCGAAGGCTCACCGACAACAATAGGAAAGGGGGGGGGCTCGGACCTGGATGATCAATAACCGCCAGACACTGGCAGACAGGGAACACTGCGCAGGAAAACTTTTCCTAGCAGGTTACCCAACCCGGACCCCTACGCACCGACTGACGGAATAAGGACGCTCTAAACGAGCCGGTGAGAAGGGAAGCCGGGCCACGTTTTTGGCTCGGTAGGATAACAGAGCCAGATGCGGCTCCATATTAAGGAAGCCATCAGGGAATGGGAATAGGGGAAAAAGCCTAATTGCCAGTAAAAGGATAAACCATCTGGATTGAAAACCTAGGGAACCTAAATGTTTCGCACTGCGTTTGTTCGGGGGAATCCTTTGGTTATGCAGAAGTAGGCAAATATGGCGACGGAGGATGAGGCAGGTAATCATGAAAGCGAGGGAGGACCAGGCTTAGGAGGCAGTGCTGTGCAAAGCAAGGAAGGACAGAAAGACAGGGAATCAACAAATCCGGATGGCACGGAAGGGAACCGGAAGGAAATATCCTCGGGGGAGAACTCGGAAAAAAACGGGGGAAGCAGACAGGGGACTCAGGAAAACAAGGACGGCAGAAATAAGGATAGGGCAAGCCCCGGAAACTCGGAGGGAGCTGTGTCTAAGAAAGTAAGGGTCACGGACGCGAGGCGCAAACTAGCAGAGATAGAGAAAAGGACCGCGAAATACAAGGCATGGTTAATCGAAGAAATGATGACTGGGAACGAGGAAGACTCTCTGCAGGAGGTACCGCGAGACGAACAGAAAACCAGCCGGGGCGGAACTGGGCAAGGGGACAAGGGTAGTGATCATGGGGGAACGCTGAGCAAAAGAAGGAAAGAAAGAGAGAACTCTCCGAGAATGGAGGCAGAGAAGGCTACGAACCCCTTAGCCACAGACAGTAGGGCTAGCCGTCTACCGACCTCGCCAGCGGTATCGCGAGGATGCGAAGGGCTCTGGAGCCTCAGAGAAAGGGTGTTGGGATGGTTCGACCCGAAAGGAACGACAAAGACTAGAGGAGGGCAGAAGACTAGCAAGGAAGGGCCAGATACCAGCGTGGCAGGCGAGGCCAGTACCTCCGAAGGCGGCCTTAGCAAGATAGTATCATCCCTCACACGAGCACTAAACAAAAATCAAGGCTACCTAGCGGATGCTAAGAAAAAGTTGACGTTCGATGGGGCGAACATTACGGAGTTCCTGATCGACTACGAGAACCTAGCTGCGTTACTAAAGTGGACCGAGGAGGAAAAAATGGAGCACCTAGGACAGCTTGTGTCGTTAAGCCTAGGACGGGACATAATGGGCATTGTAGCCGCAAGCCGGTCTTGGAAGGAGACCCGGGATGTGGTGATGAGGAAGTACCTAGCGGCAGAGAAAATGGCAACGGAGGCTGACCTAGCAGCTGTTCAGAGGAAAAACTTCGCAACGTACAATGATTTCCTACGGGAATTTACTCTAGTAGCACTAAGGATCCCCGGGGTCACGGACCGGATAATGAGCAAATATTTCCTTAGGCAGTTCTCTGAGTTCGATAAAGACAAGATCCTGTCAGCCTACCAACAGACAAGCAAGTTCGTAAACACGCGGGATGTTGATTTTAGTACGGTAACAGATCTGGCTGAGAAAACGGTAGTGACAGAAACGTTGGCTCTGCTCAAGGAAGGGGAGATCATAGACTTGACCAGTAGGACGGACGACAAGGTGAAAAAGGGGATTGAAAGCCTATACAAACGGGTGCATGGAGTCGACAACAAGATTGAAAGGATGGATAGCGCGCTACTAGTTATGCAGGCACAAGTATCCCGGCCCCCTCTCCCGCCCCAGGAAGCAGTAGTTCCGCCAGGGGTAGCCAATCGAGGATATGGACGGAGAGATCCCGCCAACGAACAATGCAAATACTGTACCGCGGTAGGACATTTTGTGCGGGCATGTCCGAAGCTTAACCATGACATACTGAAAAGGAGGTGTACCAGGTCATTAAAGGGGGAGATATTTGGACCACAAGGGAAACGGGTGAACTGGAACTCGCCAGGAGGGATGCGGCGAGCCATTATCATGCTCAACGGGTTAGAAATAACGGCCGTAGAAGCCGAACCGGTGGGCGAGATCATCTGGGATCAACTCCGGGGGCGCGGGCCGCCGACCAACTTTATTTTGAAAAGCGACGGATATGATAGGGTGAACGCAACCACTCGACTGGGAACGACCGGGAGAAGGATTAACTGTGACACCATTATGGAGGAGGTCGCCGGAAGCTCCGAACCCCAGACGGAGCCTGAGGCCGAGGAACCAGAGAAAGTCTATGGGAAGCCTAGGGAAGAGGAGCCTGTGGACAAGGTTACCGCTGCTAAGAAGAAGTTTAGGTATAAAATCCTGATCTTAACCTTGCCTGAGCTCGACGACGCCATTAGCAAGTTACTAGGAACCATGGTGTCGGTGTCTTTTCAGACCATGCTGCAGGCTAGCCCTAGGTTGCTCAAAGGGCTCAGACAACTGTTGACTCGGAGGCGAGTAGAAATAGGCGACAACTCCGAATTACCAGGAGGGGAAAGGGAGGAGGAAGCGCCGCAAGAAGTGGCTAACCTTCAGAGGAGTCACAGGGACTTAGAGGATCTCGAAAAGGCCTTTGCAGACATTCGTTTGAGCTTGCCCGACTGAGAGGGTGGCGAAGTCATGAGATCGCCACCCGGGACGAAGCTTAGCTTTCATGCGCTGCCCGTAGGGAAACTGAAAATCCAGATCGTGAGTCATCATACCGACGCATTAGTAGACGGGGGAGCAGAAATCACTCTCATAAGGAGAGATTTCGCAACGATCACGGGATGTACGGTAAACAAGGAAGTAACGGGGAGCATCCGGTCAGCTGGCGGGGAAATCCCGCTCGCTGGGTACGTCACGAAGTGTGCTGTGAAGGCAGGGGTCAGGGAATCGATCTGGTCGTTTCAGCGGATGACCGTAATGGAGGAAATGAACCACGACATAATCCTCGGGAGACCGTGGTGCGCGAACGTGGAGATGATAGGCATGCACTTGCACGATGGCTCATACATGGTAGACATAGAGGATCCTGTGACCGGCCGAGGAGAGCTCCTCCGACTCCTTGGGACGGGAGGAGACCCCCCGAAGGGGAAATTGGCAACATGGTCGCCGTCGTTCGAGGATAGCACGCGAAAAGGGGCTTTCGCACGGATGGAGGGTATGAGAGAAAGGGTAGAAATCATGATTGAGGAAGCATTCAACAAGAAGGAGTGGATCAAGATGGGCCTGCCCCAGAAGAAGAGGAGGCAGGAGGATGAAGTCCTAGGTGTTATGGTAGCGGAAAAGGAGTCAGAGGTCGAACTTGGTGCTAGCCTGCCCAAACAGAAAGAAGTACGCATAGACGTGCCGGAAATCGCACTCGAGATCCCAGATCTATTGCAACTCATCAAGGCCCTCGGATACCACAAGGTAGGAGTGGATTCGGCGGCCTTGGCCAAGTTCGAAAGAGAGGTGCAAAAGGGATATTGCTTGAATGGGAAACTAGTTAGTATTCAACCACGAATCGTAGAGGCGACGGGGGCAATTCCGACTGTTCATTTTTTAGGAGAAAGATCCCGGAAGGAAGTGTTCGAAAGTACAAGCCGGTAGGGAAGAAAGCAAAACCGGTCTCGATCCTGCTAGAAACATCAAAGAAAGAGACTATGGAGAAGGAGGAAGAGGTCCTTCGAGTGATCCGAGAAAGAAGGGCGACGGAGGGACATCGGATACCAGATGAGGTAGCGGACACAATGAAGATAGGGATAGACGGGTTCTTAACGGAAGAAGAAACCCGTCTGATCAAAAGGACCTGTGAGGAGTTTCACCTGGCATTTGCCTTTAGTGATCACCAGAAGGGACGACTGGATGCGAAGTTGATCCCGCCGGGCAGAATCCACACGGTAGAACATGAGTGCTGGAATGACAAGGGGCCATCCTATGAATTTGGAATAGCAGGAGAAGTAACAGACCTCTTCCGAGCGAAGATGGACTCCTTCATTGCGGAGCCTACGGCATCGCCATACGCAAATCGGTGGTTCGTCTTTCGGAAGCCTAACAAGACGCTAAGGTGGATTCAGGACCTGCAGAAGTTGAATGCGGTAACCATCCAGGATGCTGGCTCGCTACCTCAGGCTGACTTATTAGCAGAATCGCACGCCGGTCGGAGCATTTACTCCCTGATAGATCTGTACTCAGGGTACGACCAACTTCCGTTGGATGTTCGAGACAGGCCATACACCGCTATGCACACCCCCGTAGGCCAGCTACAAATGCAAGTGACACCTATGGGATTCACAAATGCGGTGGCCGAAGCGCAACGCAGGATGCTCGCCGTGGCCGGGGACATGTTCCCAGAAAAATGTGAGCCTTACATCGATGACAATCCGATCAAAGGCACGCAGGAGAAGGACGAGACGAAAGTCCAGTCAGTGATCCGACGTTTTGTGTGGGATCACCTGCAGGACATCAAGGACTTACTCCGCCGGTTTCTAGTATACAACATTACGGCTAGTGGACCAAAGAGTATCCTAGCAATACCGGAGGTAACTATACTAGGATTTCGTTGCGGTGCTTACGGCAGGAAACCGAATCCGGCAAAGACCGACAAGATATCACAGTGGCCGACACCACTGTGCACGACGACGGAGGTAAGGGCATTCCTAGGCGTAGTCGGCTTTTGGAGGATCTTCATTAAGAACTTTGCCAAGATTGTTGAGCYTATCCGGGCTATGATAAGGGAAGAAGGAACCATGGATTGGATGGAGGAGCGAGAAGGAGTTGTCCAAAGGCTCAAGGACATATTGACATCTGAGACAGTCGCCCTGTCCGCGTCTTGTTTTAATGACGAAGTGGAACGACCCTTCATCCTAGAGACGGATGGAGGACCTTTGGCCGTAGGAGGTGTGTTGATTCAAAGGGATGAAGGAGGAATAGAGAGGCCGATTAGGTTCGAAAGTAGAACCCTGAACTCCGCAGAACGGCGGTACTCACAATTCAAGAAGGAAGTCGTAGCCATGCTGCATTGCCTTAAGACCTTCCAAGCCTACCTATTTGGGAGGCGGTTCATCTTAAGGATCGATCCGACGAATGTCGCGGGGGCTCTAAAGAATTGCAGGCCTATAGATCCGACGGTAGGGAGATGGGTAGGATTCATCTGGCAGTTTCATTACAAAATCGAACGGATTGTTGGAATCCGCAACAAGGCAGATGGGCCGAGTCGGGTTTGCATCACTCCCGAAGGGATGGAGGATGCAGAGCCCATAGACGCATTCCTCGAATACGAAGGAGGGACTCTCACGGTGGATAACGAAATAATGAGCGAGGGATGCACATCGGGAGAACTATTAATCCAGACTTTGGAGAAGGGGGCACCTGCCGTAGTAGCAAAACTTAGAGAAGGACCAGTTATCATTCGAGGACGCAGAGAAGAAAAAGATTCATGGGGAGCGATAGTAGGACCGAAAGAGGAACTAATGGCAATGGCGGTCGAGGGAGGCCGGAAAACAGTGATGAGCTTAGTGGAATCTTGGGAAAGGAAAAAATTGCAATGGGTGGTAAACCAGATGCAGGGAGGAAAGGATGAGGGCAAGGAAAGAGAGGAGTTTTTCTATGTCCAATTATACGAAGGGCTCTTTCGGGAGATCGGACTGTTATTGGTAGGGAACAAACAACCTACGGAAGTCAGTATTAAAGCAAGAGAAGAAGCCGAAAGGTACGTCCTAAAGAGCGGGCATCTGTTCCGAAGGGAGGAAGGTGCTATGCCAAGGAGGGTTGTGTGCGGAAGATCTAGGCAATTAGATGTTATCCAGACAATGCACGATGGGTTCGCTGGAGGTCATCAGTCGTCCAAAGGAACGCTTGCAAAGATGACGCCACTCTATTATTGGCCAGGCATGGCAGGCATGGTCGCCATATACTGCCAGACTTGCCTTATTTGCCAAGAACAAAGCTCAGTGCGGGTCTTCGAGTTGCTTAGACCAACGCAGGTGCTAGGGCCGGGACATCTGGTCCACCTCGACCTTGCGGTCATGCCCGTATCAACGGATGGGTACAGGTATATTCTAGATGCGCGAGACAACTTGAGTGGGTTCATGGAGGCAGTCACCCTCAAGAAAAAGATAGGGAGGAGTGTGGCGGACTGGATAGAAGACTTCTACTTGAGGCATCCGTTCGTTAGGAGGTTCATAGCAGACAATGAGACGGAATTTGTGAACCAAGAAGTATTGGGGATGCTTAAGAGACTCTGCGTACCGATCAAACTCATCGAGCCGTATCACCCTGAGGCCAATGCACCTGTGGAAAGGGGGCACCAAACCTTGAAGAACACGATTGCAAAGCTCGCAGCGGACCATCTGGGGAACTGGCCTAGATATCTTAAGCAGGCTGTCTTTGTAGAGAATATGACCCCTAAAAGGACAAAAGGATGTATCCCGGCAGAGCTTTGGTACGGAAGAGAGATCGACTTTCCTGTGGAAGCCTTGGTACCTACCTGGAATAGGTTAGATGAAGATCCGCAAATGACCACTGAAGATTTAATCGAGGCAAGATGTCAACAAATCCTTAAGAATGAGGAGGTCATGGAAGACATCGCCAACTGGGTACTAGACAGCAGAAGAGGGACAAAACAAGGTGGGACCACGTTAAGAATGTCAGAAAGGAGCCGCTTCAAGTAGGAGAGATGGTATTGCTAAGGAACTCGGCACTAGAAAGTACTTGGTCGGGACAGCTGGGAAGGAGGTTCAAAGGCCCCTACCGGGTCGCCAAGCGGGTGGGACTGAACACCTTCGAACTGGAAGATTTGGATGGAACTGGATTAAAAGGGCCCTTCCCGGGGCAATGATTGGTAAGGTTTCTAAGTCGGGACCCAGTGGAACAATGGCTTCAGGAGGCCGAAGATAAGGAAATTGAGGAGCCACAAGCTAAAGACTGACCACAACCTTGCCCACACTATGGTTTGTCTCTGACTACGTCCATGGGACTGTCATTTTTTGGGGGACTGGGGCAATGGCTTGGACTGACTGAGGTTGAAAGGCAGCATGACTTGGAAACCCTCACCCCTCCGCGAGGGAGAAGGCATAGAAATCTCGTCTGACAGTGAGGGAAGGAAGGAAAAGGCAGAAGTGGAAGAAGGAGGCAATGCAGGTATGGGAGATAAGGTTCAGGTCTCTGATGAGGAAGGAGCTAACAGGGGCAAACGACATGAGACTTGGCGTGGGGAAAGCGAGGAGGAACAAGACATGCGTGACGAACATGAGGAGGGTGATGAAAGAAGGGAGAGCCCGCTTGAAGGACGAAGTGGTCACGACAATTGCGAGGGGTATGGGGCGGGGATAGAGACCCCTTTTACCTACGATCCGAAGAGCCTTGGTGGTGGGTATAGCCCCATACAGACAGAAGACGAGGAGGACGAGGAGGAAGATGTGCGAGAAGTCATAGAAATTAGCAACGGGGATGAGAGGGATGATATCTCAAAGCCTAGGGAGGAGGGGCGGCCTCCGATGCACTAGCCGGGCGACGGGGCTTTCAGATGGGAAGACGAGTTTGGGCCGACACCTAGTCATTGGTTTCAGCAATGGACCAATGTGATCAGGCACGAGTGGATTGTCAAGACTCAGGAACTCGCAAGGGCGGGGGTGAAAGCCACGCCACTGGATTTTTTTAACGAGGAAGAGTTGCGGAAAATTGTGAGGATAAGGAGAGAAATCGAGACCTTCGGCCTGGGGGTTAGACAGCCGGTTGAGGAACAGAGTGGACCAGGAAGCAAGCAAGTTGAGGCACAGGACAACAATAGGCATTAGGGGTTGATTGAGTGTTGGGCAAGAATCGTAGTTTTAATTCTCAATTGCAAAACATTGGAGCAGAATGTGTATAGTATGAGTGAGCTTGCAAAGGATGAGTGATGGAAGGGCCATCTAAGGCTGTGTCGTGATAAGATTAGAAGATAGCATATCGAGGCTACCTTTGGATGAGTTACCTTCGAAAGTGGGTACACAAGACAAAGACGTGGGGCATGGGATGAAACCAGTTGGGAAGGGTGTATTGTGAAATTTGGATGGAATGAGGATTGTGTTTTTTTAGGAAAAAAATTGTGAGTACGGATTGACGAGCAAGCAAGGCATTGAATGATTGGTCAAGAGAGGTTAGGAAACCTATGGGTTAAGGGGCGTGAAGAACGCTCCTTCCCTAGGAGCCTAATTCAACTAAATCATGAATGAGTCTGAGAATAGTCAAAACCTGAGTGATCAGGAAGAGAGAAAATGGAAGGGGCGCCCCTGTCTTTTGTTATGGTTGAACGGCCGGGTGAGCTAGTACTGCTTGGGGTCACGAGCCCCAACTCGAGTGCTAGACGCTAAGCCGGATGTATGCATGGATGATACATTACTGTGAGAAATTGAATGAATGGTACATTACTGTGAGAAATGGAAGAATGAGAACAACGCGCAAAAGATGAGATGACCACCTTCTAACCTCCAAGACAAGAATGGGATCCGTAACCTCGAGGCCCACCCCCTCGGGCACTAACATTGAGAATGGAAAGAATGACCCTAACCACGCTGTTTGACTTGAGAATGGAAAGGAATGACCCTAACCAGGCTGTTCGACTTGAGAATGGAAAGGAATGACCCTAACCAGGCTGTTCGACTTGAGAATGGAAAAGAATGACCCTAACCAGGCTGCTCGACTTGAGAATGGAAAAGAACAACCCTAACCAGGTTGTTCGGGAATGACCCCTGACAAGGGTCATTCCTTTTGAAATAGGCACTGGGGTCCCCTGCATATTGGATTGAGAAAGGCTGATTGAGAAATGTTGATTGAGAATGTGCTGGAATGAGCAAAAAGAGATGGAAAAGGTCGGTGGGTCGGTCATTGAAATAGCCAATGGGATGAATGGAAGAGATGGAAAAGGCCGGCAGGTCGGTCATTGAAATAGCCAATGGAATGGACGAAAGAGATGGAAAAGGCCGGTGGGTCGGCCGCTGAAATAGCCAAGGGGGCGGAAGAAAGATGTGAATGAGAAAGGCAGGATAAAGAAGGCCGAGCCTTAAAGTCAAGAAGGGCAGGGACAGTTGGGACGGTCACAGAAATTGGGTGTTGAGGAATGAGAGAATTGAGGATTAATGGGCGGAAGGGTCAGTCTTAAGAAATGGCTATTGAGAGAATGACCGCCAGACCGGCCATGTGAGTGGCCTTGTTGATGAGAGGCTGTCGGACCAGCCATGAGAATCAGCCTTGGAAATAGCATGGGATTGAGTGTTTGAAGATTTAATATTGCATTGCATAGCTAGGGGACCCTAGGCAACTTGAAATGGATTTGGAAATAGCCTTGGAATGGATTTTCTCTTTTTCTAGTCTTTGGCCTCAGCAGGAGGGGGATACCAGTGCTCGCACCACGACCCCAAGACCTCTATCCCTGTAAGCGAAAAAGTCTTAGCGCGACTTGTTCCTCTTGTAAGGGGATGAGGGTCAAAGGACCAAGGCACCTACCACTTGGACCGGTGCGGGACGTCCGGAACTGACCCCGACAACGAGCTCTAGTCGGGAAGTTCAAGTTGCGCCTCGTGTTGAACGCCTAAACGTCAAAGGGTGAGAGAACCAAATGGGCGAGAGGGTCATTCTTTTTTCTAGTCTCCTTTGTTCTCCCCAACCACACGCCATGTCGTTGAGGGGCGGCACGACCTTTTGGAATAGACCACGGCAGCTCGCGTTAAGTTGAGCAACACTGTCCAGAGGGAGGAATTGGGCGTGGTACCGGGTGGAAGTCACAACCACCACGGGGCATTGACACCGCCCGGCCGGAGCATTACAACCGCTTCGGGACTAATTGCGAGGTCTTCGTAACTACACTCGCGGACTAATTGAGAGCCCCAACTCTCTTGAAAGGAAGAAGCCGGATCCAGAAAATTACGGGAGGAACGATTCGCGAGGAACGCTCGTACGGCTAGACGAGGCCCTGAAAGGCTTGGATTGGACTTGCCTGCCAGACGTGAGGAGGAACCTCAGTATTGGTGCTCGCCACGTAAGAAAAGAAAGGTCGGACCGAGTAGGAGGATGAGGCGTCGTTCGCTGGGGAGGAACTGATCACTCTTCCTTTTGTGAAGCGGACGGGCTTGTGTCCTTGACTGCGGTTGGTGGGCCAAAGGTCTGCGTACCTCCGAGTGAGAACCAGTCGCGCGATGGGGACATCGCGTTTTGAGTGGGGGGAAGGTGTGCCATTTACCGAAGAAAAAGCGTGCGAAAGAGAAGGATACCATGAGCATAAGGATGGATGAGTAATTGACTTTGCGCAGGCTTGAGAAAAGGCCTGGCAAAATGTCCAGAAGAGAAACGGGTGAGAAATTGACATTGCATGAGCTTGAGAAAAGGCCTGGCAAGCGACTTGTGTGATTGATTTGGTATGAGCCTAAAAATGGGCCGAGCAAGACGTCTGGAAAAGAAAAGACTTGTATGATGGACTGTGTATGGATCTAAGAGAAAGATTGACAGACTGGGAAACAGATGAGTATTTGGTTTGCATAAGTCTGAAAAAAAGGTCTGACAAGGTGTCTGGAAAAAGGGATGCACAAAGGATGAACTGGGCAGCATGCATGAAAAAGTTAAAAAAAAGCAAGGAACAAGAAAGGACAAAGAGTGATACGAATGCAAAATTGGCAGGACCTGAGGAAAGTCGGGCGAAAGGACCTGGGGAAGATGCATGTGGATTTGGCAAAACCTGAACGTCGGGGAACGGTAAAGGGAAAACATGGATTGCACGGACCGAAAAGTAGATTATTTTTATTTTATTTTTTTGATGACTCTAAGAGTAAGGAATAAGACGAATCCAAAATGTTTTCTCAATGAAATAGGGAAGATAGATTTAAGATTACGAAGCATTTAGGGGGGGTTGTGTCTGTGCTCGCTGATTCGAAGTGAGTATCCCCACAGTAAAGACGGCGGTTGTACTGGACGAACATCCCCCTTCCTGAGCAAATGCCTGACATCGAGTCGCATCCGAAAACTCGCCTACAATTTGTTATCAATAAAGCCAAGACATAAAATGAGAAAACCAATTGTGTTATGACAACAAATTGTCACCCTGGGAATAAAGCCAGCATACCAGTAGTTAAGTGCATGAAGCAAGGAAAACCTTGTCTGCTCCATGTTACTGAAGGCGAAAGAATTATGGACTGCCCTGCTGGATATACAGAGTTGACTGAAGAGGAAGCTAGCATCTCGATTGAGGAAAGATAAAGAGACAGAGCTATGATGGAAATGAGCAACCTGGTCTAAGCTGTAGAACCTTCGCCTCCCACATACCCTCCTCCACCCCAAGGGGCGGAAGCTAAGGAAAATTTTGAGAAAGAAATGGGAAAAGAACAAAACGGACCCTGGCAAACTAACCACCCGTAACATCTCATCTTCCTCTCTCATCTATCCCTCCAAAACTCACTGGCAAGATATTGGTGCGCGATGAGCACATCGAGAAAGAGTGGGGGGAATGTGTCGGGACTGGTGAGTCCTAAATAACTTCCCATCACTCGAGAGACCGAATATGGACGAACTGTGCACAACAGAGAAATCCGAAGTGAGACGAAATAAAGGATTAGGCCGTAGGAGGGAGTAATGCCCTGGGGCAAGAACCACAGGGGGGAGAGAACTAAGCAGCGGCGAGCGAGCGAGCGCATGAACAAGGGCACATAGAACATAGCAGGAGGTCGGGAGGGCCATCGGAAGGCAATAAGACTAAGGCCAAGGGGCCTTTTGAACTAGTAATTGCAGCGCGACAGCAATAAGGGAATGAGGAAGTCGAGGGGTGGGCGGCCGGAAGCCGCGGGAAGCCGGGAAATGAGGGGCCAACGTGGGGGCCACCTACGAGAGCCTCGGAGCGAAGGCCCACGGCCAAAGAGATCGGCACACGCAAGGCGCGAGGAAAGACTAAGGAGAGGGGTCGCTATGGGGCGACAAGACGCCCAAGGGGCATGGGACACCTCGGGGAAAGGCACCCGAGGCCACAAAGGACTAATTAAAAATAATGGCGTCCGGACCGAAATGTGTCGGGGACCGCCGACGGAACTAAGTGTCGGGGACCACCGGCGGGACTAAGTGTCAGGGACCACCGACAGGACTAACTGTCGGGGACCACCGGCGGGATAAGTGGTGGGGACATGTGAAAATCCCAAGAAGAAATGGCGGCACCATATGAGGGAAAATAATAAATGCAAGGTGCACCGTCAAGATCGACATCTTGACGGCCATAAATATTAGCACCACTAGTGCAAGTACTAGTGGTGACAAACGGGAAGGCCAAAAGGGAAAGGAAAAATAAAGAAAACTGAAGTGGGAGGCATGGGAGCAATCCGAAAAATCTCGGATCAGCCTCCCTCAAGAAAATAGAGTCAAATAAGACCCCATGTGAAAAATAGCCCTCCGGGAGAAAATCGGAGTAGGAAGGACCATTGTGGGAGAAATGTAGGAGTAGAAGGAGGCTTCCATGGGCATGGGAAGGCCCCATCTAGGGCTATTTTTAGTATCAGCGGCTACCTGACACTGTGGCGAGAGATTGTGGTGTTGGCGAATTGGGTGCCACAGGACCAGATACAGGGTATCTGGAGTAAAGGGGTGTATCGCTACAGGATTCTGAGGAGGATCAACAATTTTGAGGAGGTTCTGTGCGTGGGATTGTCTGGGAGAAGCTCTGGAGGGAATTGGCGAGATCAGGGTATCATCAGCCGTAGCCAGATCTTCATCATCACCTGCAAGATTCTCTGCAAGTGAGTCTGTTCCATGCACCTACCTGTATTGCGATCCAGATAGTAATAAATTAGTGAAAGATAATGGTCTATTTGTCTGTTAGTGACTGGATATGAAAATCGCAGACTGCATGGCAGCCATAGTCATCTCTCCCCCTACCTCCCTCTGCTCATATCTCATCATCTGTTGACTCTTTCCAGTCCAAACTTGTCCTGTGACAGTTATACTGTATTGCGATTGTTCTGGGATGTTCAAACCGTGAATTCTGCACTGGAAAAGTAGTGATACTGGGAATTGCTGTTTTGCGCTGAGTCTATTTTAAGCCTGTGCTATCTAGGGTCAGTCATAACTTCAATTCTGCCCGTCAGAATTCAGCTTTGTCAGTCCCAGCAAATCGCAAATTGAAAACAGTCAGTACTGTCAAATCGCAGAGTTGGATTTCTAGTATTTCACTGGATACAGTGAAAACTGTGATTCGCCATACCCTAGGGTATGGCCGTCAGAGTCATCAGGTTCTGAAATTGAGTCTGAGCTAGGTTCCAGGGTATCTGTCTACATCGCTTGCTGTATTTGATCTCTCTGTGTCTGTACTAACCATTTCTATCATTCCCACTGATTACACTTGTTTTCTAGTGGACACTGGAACTTCTAGTGGGTCTCTGGAAGACTAGTGGATTGACCGTGTTACTTCCAGTGTGGTCCAGGGTCAGTAAAAGGAAATCGTGTGACTGATTTTGCTGGACTTACAGTCTACTTGACACCCGACCCCAGAGACACCCTTCTAACCCCAAACCGTTGATTGCCTACCCGCCCACCTACTCCAGTGTTGAGTGCTGCAGCGAATCCAGAGTATCTGCAGGAATCTGTGTATCGCTGCAATTCTTTCTGCTGTTATTTTATTTTTGGGTTTTCTTTGAATAGGGAAAATGTCAGATCAGGGGAATGAGAAGCAGCCACAGGTAGAGGTTGTGGTGAAGGCAGAAGGTGAAGGCAGAAGGTGAACAGCCTTCTTCCTCCACTGCACCCTCTCCACCTCTGACTGCTACTCAGAGGCTGAAGAAGGAGGCAGAAGAGCAGCTCAAGCTGCAACAGGCCAGAGTAGCTGAATTGGCACGGCAGGAGGCTGCTGAGCTAGAGGCTGCAACAGATCACTCCAGGAGAGAGTATCTGTTGCAGCAGCTAGACAAGTCTCTCACTGATGATCAGTGCTCCCAGGTCACCAAGCACATGGTTGAGATGATCATGTTGGAGCACAAGATCACCAGCTCCCAGTTCACAAACTGGGATGACCGTTTTGTGAGGCTAGAGCGTCGGGTTGACGAGCTGTCAGCTCAGCAGTCCAAGATCCTGGACTCTATCCAGGGTTTGTCTGCTCAGCTGGCAGCCGCCAAGCTGACTACTCCTCAGCTCCCTCTGCTGAAACCCAAAACCTCTCCTCCTCCTTCACCACCTCCTTCCCCTCCTTCATCCCATGGGGGATCTGTACACTCTTCCCGGCCATCTACTCCTTCCCAAAAGGCCTCAGCAAAGGCCACCTATGCTGCTGTGATTGCAGCAGACAAAGGTCCCAAGATCCCTGCTCCCAACAAGTTTAGGGGCGATGACCCCAAGACTGATGTTGGGGACTGGGCTGCTGGGACCAGAGCCTACTTGAGGGGCTTTGTCTGTGCAGAACAGACCAAGGTGGCAACTGTTTTGGGGCTGCTGGAAGGGCCTGCACTGAAGTGGGCCACCTCAACTTCCAGCAGCCTGCAGCAGTCCGTGGAGGACTGGGCCTTTGGGTTAGGGGTAGACAAACTTCTGCAGGCCCTGGAGGACCGGTTTGCAGACAAGGAGCGGGCCCGCAAGGCTGCTGACAGGATTGCTCGCCTGGGACAGCAGCGGTACAGCGGCACCCTACAGGCCTTGTTTGCTGAGTTCGAGCAGCTCACCTCCACCCCTGGGCTGGTCATGGCACCGGATGATATGTTGACCAGCTTTTGCAGGGCAGCGCCTGAGAAGTTCGTTGTTGCACTTTACAGCGCTGGATACAAGGACTGGAGGTCCTTCGGTCGTGCAGCCCTGGAAATGGAGGCCAAGCTCCATGTCCAGGCCCCAACCTCTGACAGGAGGAAGGGTGCCTTCCCTGGAGGCAACAGAAGGGGAAAGGCAACCCTTACTCATGTGGGATCTGCCTCAGGATCAGATACCGATTCTCAGCCTGACGTGCCTTCAGGAGGGATCGGATCTGCTGCTGAGACAGATGTTGCAGCAGTGGTGACTCAGGCTGTGTTGGGAGCTCTGCAGTCGCAGAGAAAGTTTTCTACCCCCACAGCCTCAGCCACTACCAAGGGGAAGGATAAGGGACGTCGTCCTTCCTCTTCCCAGCGCCCTAATCTGCCTAGAGACGTCCACATGCCAGCTGACCCTCTCAATCCCTCCACACTCCCCTGGCATGACCTCAAGATCCAGGAGGGAGTCTGGAGAAGAAGAAAGGAGAAGGGGGTCTGCCTGAGATGTGAGGGACAACACTTCTTAAAGGACTGCCCTTACATGCCAGGCCTGGGTCAGTCAAAAAACTGAAACAGACCCTGGGGACTGCAGTTCCCTCCAGTGATGCATCTTCATCTATTCAGATAGGTGAATCTGCAGCTGTTTCAGTTGAGACTGTTTGTGATGATGTGTGTTTGGGAACTGCGCGGGCAGAATCCTTCTGCTATGAGGATCCTGACCCGGATCAGGACCCGGGGCAGGATGAGCTTCAGTCCATTGCTGCCTTCTTCTTCCACTTGAAAGAGCAGAAGAAGAAGGGCCTGTCTGAACTCATCATGCTTCGGCCACTGATTAACCGCACCAAGATCACTGGGCTTTTGGACTGTGGAGCCACCCGGAACTTCATATCTCCCAGTGCAGTAAAAAAATTGCATCTGGGTATGAAAGTTCAGCAGCTGCAGCAGCCGCTGCAAGTGCGGATTGGTGACTCTACAGTGATCAGCATCATGGAGAAGGTCAAGGGCATCCCTGTGACCTTCGATACTGCAGGAAAAGTCAGACACAGTCTGAACTTTTATATCTTCCCTGAGCTTCCCTTTGACTTGGTGTTCTCCATGCAGTGGTTGAGGGCAGTCAACCCTAGGATCAACTGGCAGATTCCTAGAGTTGAGCTACCAGACCGCCAGGGGGTGTATCAGCAATGCATGATTGTTGTTGATCACCACCCTAAGACCTCCTGCTACTGCTTGAGAGCGAGGGAGTTCCATGGTCTCTCTCGCCAGTACCACCATGAGCGTCTGTTTATTGCTCTGGTCAAGCAAACAGATGCTCCCCCTGTTTCCTGTCCTCCTGAGATACAGCAGGTGGTAGATCAGTATGYTGATCTGATGCAGGAGCCCTTTGGACTTCCCAACCGGCCAACCAAGCATCACATCGAGCTGCTGCCTGGAGCGGTTCCTCCCAAGGGCCGCATCTACAGGATGTCCCCTGCTGAGCTTGAGGAKCTCAGAAAGCAGCTTGASACCCTGACCAGCAAAGGCTGGATCAGACCCAGCACATCTGAATTCGSTGCACCTSTTCTCTTTGTACCCAAAGGGAAYGGCGAGTTCAGGATGTGCATTKACTACAGGGGTCTCAACAAGATCACYAGGAAGAGTACTGAGCCACTYCCTAGGWTCGAYGACCTCCTGGRYATGGTGCAGGGCTGCACAGTGTTCAGCAAAGTCGACCTCAAATCTGGCTATCACCAGATTGAGATGGTAGAGGAGGATGTCTACAAGACAGCCTTCAAGACCAGGTATGGGACATACGAGTTCCTGGTCATGCCATTTGGACTTTGCAATGCCCCAGACACATTCCAGACTGAGATGCACCGCATCTTCAGGTCTTACCTGGACAAGTTTATGGTTGTCTACCTGGATGATATCCTGGTATTCAGCAAAACTGTCAGGGAACATATGGAGCACTTGGCTCTAGTCCTTCAGTTGTTACGTGACAACCAGTACAAGATCAACAGAGAGAAGTCCTCTTTTGGAGTTCCCTCTGTCATCTACCTGGGTCACGTAATCTCTGGAGATGGCCTGGCTCCTAAAGCAGCCAAGATTGCTGCCATTCAGGAGTGGCCTCAGCCTCAGACAGTGAGGGATGTCCGGTCCTTCATGGGTTTGGCCTCCTACTACAGAAAGTTTGTCAGGAACTTTTTTGCAGTGGCTGCACCCCTGACTAACCTAACAAAGAAAGACACTCCCTTTCTTTGGTCCCTCCACTGTCAGCTGGCCTTCACACGACTCAAGAAGGCCTTGACTCGTGCGCTTGTACTGAAGTTACTTGACCCCACTCTGCCATTCATCCTGACTACTGACGCCAGTCAGTATGGCATTGGGGCAGTACTTCAGCAGGATGATGGGAATGGTCTACGGCCTGTAGAGTTTATGAGTAAGAAGATCAAGACTCAAAAGCTCCAGGACTCTACCTACGAGAAAGAGTTGTATGCTCTTGTCTGTGCCCTGAAACATTGGAAGCACTTTCTCCCGGGCAGGCACTTCAAGATCTTTTCAGATCACTCCACCCTGCAGTGGATGAAGTCCCAGGGAGAGTTGAACGATAAACTGGCACGGTACATTCAGTTCATCGACATGTTCGACTTTGAACTGAAACATAAGAAGGGCTGCTACAATAAGGTAGCAAATGCCCTCTCTCGTAGGCCTGACTCTTTTGCTTTGATCTCCTCTACTCACTCCTTTGGAGAGGAGACCCATCAGACCATTGCTCATCTACTGCCTCAGGACGAGACTTTCGGACCCATCGTCAGGAATCTGTAAGCAGATCCTAACTCTGAACCAGGCTATGCTATGAGTTCAGACCTACTGTACACCTATAGCAGAGGTGAGGAGCGCTTGTGCATTCCCCAGGACCAGCGGCTCATGACACTGCTGCTGTCAGAGTGTCATGATGCCCGTGGACACTTCGGGTTCCTAAAGTCTTATGCAGCCCTGTCGCAACGCTTCTTCTGGAAGGAGATGCGGAGTGAGATGCTGCGTTATGTGGACACCTGTGAGCTCTGCCAAAGGAACAAGGTTCAGCGTAAACCTCCTTTGGGACTGCTCAAACCCTTACCCATACCTGATGGCCCTGCCCAATCTGTGTCGATCGACTTCACAGATTTAGGCAAGACCACCCCTCGTGGCATGCGTCAGGTTATGGTCTGCGTGGACAGGTTCTCCAAATACGCAGAGTTCATCCCCCTGCCAGAGGTAGCTAGGGTACCGGCTGTGAGAGCAGCCTTCTCTGAGAGGTGGGTCACACACCATGGACCGCCCACCTCTATCGTCAGTGATTGTGACCCCAGATTTTGCAGCGATGAGTGGCAGTCCTACTGCAAGGACTATTTGCACTCACGTCTGGACATGACTTCTGGTCATCATCCTGAAGCCAATGGATTGGCTGAGGTGATAAACCAAGTCTTATTCCAGCTGCTGCGTCCTGTCATCTCTCCAGATCAACAGGGCTAGGATCTTCACTTGGCGAGGGCACAACTCATGTATAACATGTCTGTCCACTCCTCGACAGGGTTCAGCCCCTACCGGTTGCACTGGGGACGTGAACCACGCCATCCTCTCGATGATATCATCGACAAGGTTAAGCCTGATCTGGCGCCAGGCACCGCAGAGTTTGCCAGACGCTATCGTCTGGATGTGGAAAGAGCCCGCGCGAACTTGTTCAAGGCCCAAAAGGCCATGATTGAACAAGCCAATCGCCATAGGCGGCCTTCCCCCATCCGTACTGGTGATCATGTCTGGGTGGCCAGTTCAAAGCTGTCGAGGGAGGAGGATATCTCCCCCAAGCTGTTGCCACGCTACTTGGGTCCGTGGCAGGTCCTAGATACAGTGGGTGCTGATCCTTTCGGCCCGTCGTATGTTATCGACGTCCCGCTGCATCTACGTACCTATCCGGTCTTCCATGCATCCAAGCTGTTACCTTTTACGCCAGCTGATGCATTCCCTGACCGGCCCCCTCAATGGGGCCCACCAATCCCTAGTAAGGGATATGAAGTGGTGGCCATTGAGGATGAGTGGGGCACAGGCCCCGACCGGCAGTATCTTGTCAGGTTCGCTTTCCAGTCCCCTTCTGAGAACCGGTGGTTCTACAGAAGAGACCTGATCAAGACAGCAAAGTCTGTTGTACTGCGCTATGAGGCGCCTCAGAAGGGTGACCTTCGCCGTTCGCCTCGTCTGCACCCCTAGCTCGGAGGTCCTCGCTCCCGGGGAGGGTAAGCCTGCAATGACTTGCTTATTTCTGCTGCCGAGATTAACAGCGAGGCTGTACACTAACCCGGTAGGTTAGATTCGTAATTTTGTTTGGCTGAGGGCTAACCGAGAGACCTGCCTGTAGGGAAATTCTTGAGGGACAGATCTGTAAATCTGGGAAAATATAGGCCCAGTACTAACCTGAATTCCTACAGCTACCCTAATTGTTGATAGCAGGTCCGGGCTACCCCTAGGACAGACAGGCCCTAAGCGGCCTATGCTGCTACGTTCCTATAGCCTATAGCCGGGTCTGGTAGAGGCCGAGAGGCCGAAACAGCAACGGTACCGGTCGGTCAGTCAGTCCGGTCTAGGTCTAGAGAGTCTATAGATAGGTTAGGCTCACCGGTTCAGGACTTTTGGCAGTCCATTTCTCGCAAGCAGCGTTGGAGAAGCCAAGCGAGTTGGTGGCGGTACCTGTCTACAGGCAGCATCCTGAGACACGCCGTGATAGCAGCCATAGCCGGCCCTCTCTGAGTCTGGCATAGCTGGGGCATCCTCAGCGCATCTACCCCTGGGGGTATCTGCGTATGGCCGGGCTGTATCGAGGCTCTACAGTGGTGATGCGTGGGTCGTGGCAGCCATAGCTGCCTGTTCCTTCGTCAGAGTTGTCCATCGGCACTGAAGACTTCATCGCAGTACCTGTTCTTCATCAGGGTGGTTGGCGCTGGCGTCTGGAAGGCTGTTCTGACATAGCGCTACTAACTGGGTGTAGGATAGAGAGTGGGGTGTGAGTTCTGAGTGTGGCGAGATATTGGAACAAACTCTGTTACGATATTTGTGTGAGCGCATCTACCCTTGGGGGTATCTGCGTATGGCCGGGCTGTATCGAGGCTCTACAGTGGTGATTCGTGGGTGGTGGCAGCCATAGCTGCCTGTTCCTTCGTCAGAGTTGTCCATCGGCACTGAAGACTTCACCGCAATACCTGTTCTTCATCAGGGTGGTTGGCGCTGGCCTCTGGGAGGCTGTTCTGACATAGCGCTACTAACTGGGTGTAGGATAGAGAGTGGGGTGTGAGTTCTGAGTGTGGCGAGATACTGGAACAAACTTTGTTACGATATTTGTGTGAGTGGCTCATCATCAGTGACAGGGTCAATTGTGATCTTCGCAGGTTCTTTCTTGTGATTGGTTGTTGGGAGTTGTGTCAAAGAGTGAGAAACACTGTGTGTCTTCTCCCCTGCTGTGCATAATTGTCTTCCGCTGTTTATCTTCGCCTGTGTGCAGTGTGGACTCTGTCTCCTCTCTCCCCATCTCTTGTGCATGTATGGGCATGTATGAGACTGTCTGTGTGTGAGTGGCGAGAAAATTCGTCAGACAACCAAGTTCATAACACCTTGGACTGACTCAGACCCGACCCGGACTGCAATCGAAACACTCTCAAACATTCATCAGGGGTGTGAATGCCCTGGCCTCAGACATAGACGAAAGGCCAGGGACTGAGATCATACACGGACGAAGGGAGAGAGGGGAGAGACGAAGGAGGAGGAGAGGGAAGATGACGTCAACTCAATGTTTCCGAAGATAGTATCTTGAACTGTCAGAAGTGACGAAAATCCGAAATGTCGCGAATGACAAGCCTCACAATATCCCAGATGTCGATCTCACAATGTCAAGTACATCTCCGAAAGGAAGATGAAGTCAGATCCCCATAAGTCCTCAACTCGTAGTCCCCAATGTCGCTGTCTCATATGTCATCAGAACTCGTAACCATCTCCCATACTGCAGTAGTCCTGTAGGAGAAGTAGATTTAGACTGAGAAGGTAGGAGGAGTAGAGAGAGAGAGGGAGGGAGAAGAGGGGGGGAAGGCGAAGCCTTCCTCCCTGGTACCTGGCTATGGCGCTGCAAAGGGACGGCTGGGCCGGTAACTGGTGAGGCGCCCAGTGCTGCGCTAATCCGCTCTCTGCTGAACCTCGCTCCTTCGCTGCTCGTCGCTGCTGCAGCGCTGCGCTAACCAAGCTAACGCTGCTGCTTCGCTAATCCTGAAGACTAACCTCCGTTCTTACTAACTTACCGGACTGAGGCTGGTACCCAGCCTTTTGTAGTGCTGGGCCGGCGTCTTGCCTACTGGTACCTACCGGCCTGGACCGTTGATCTGAGTCGACGGTCCAGATTCAAACTGGTTTGGCGCCCAAAATGTGGCAGCCTCTGAAACGCCGCCGGTTGGTCCTGGGCTGGACGGGTACCGGCCTTTGGCCGTTTGGGCCTAACGTGCCCTACCTCAGGCCTATCTGGGCCTGGTCTGAACCGTCGTGCCCGTAGGCCTACTCTGCCTACTGGGAACCGGGCCCTAACTGGGGCCCGTGTGGCTCAGTATGCCACATCCTAACCGCTCAAATCTGCCAGGACAAAGAGCTAGCAAGACCGGAATGTGTCTTCAAAAACAAAAAAACTCTCTCTCCCATTCCATCCCTAAATCGTCACAAACCATATGTGTGTCTCTCTGTGAATTTGTTATGTAATATGAAAACCAAATCCATCCGAGAACCACAAGAGGCAAACAAAGAGTCATGCGGCTGAGCGGCAAGTGCCTGCACTGGTCTGCCGTAAGAGCACACTTGTTGATCATCAAAAAAGGGGGACCTGCACAAGAATAACCAGCCTGCACCCAACAACAGAGGTCATAGGTCTTTCTGTGCTGCTCCCCTCCACCCCAACTCCCCCCACTCCCCCCCTTCATACCCCCTTGCTTTCTCTCTGAGTCCCTGTCGTTTAACCTAAACATCATATCTGCACAGCATACATTCCGGTAATCTGCAGACTTGTACATCATTCGGAATCTGCACAGCATCCATTCCAGTAATCTGCAGACTTACCTCACTGACATATGCTGCGAGCCCTGCAACACTGTCCTGTCCTTTCCTTGAGAGACCCCGCAGTTGTTCACCAAGTTTTGCAATCACCAATCCCATACATGGCACTACCTGTCAAAAACCACGTTTCTCATAGACAACAGTCAGCGCAAGCGGCCAGAGGACATAGCTTTATTCTGGATAAAACCTTTGCAAATCACAAGAGCTGTTCAGATGTTTGAATCCACTCAGTAATCAACTTTGCAGCTCATTGGAAGCCAGTTCCCTATCAATGGACGATGATGTGGCATACCCAGAAGGAAAGAAAGGAAAAGATTCAAAACACAAAATGTAATGAACCAGCTTGAATTCCACAGTCAAATGCAACTCACAGCAGACCGAAAGCTCACAGGACATTCACCCAAACACCGAAGTGGCAAATTGGCACATACGAGGATGAAAGCACCTCCAATCATTTGATTTTATATAGCAATTTAGTCCTGATTACGAGCAGTTAATGCCCGCTATGGCCAACAACGACATGTAAGATCATATATTCTGTAATTAAAACTATTCTTGAATAAATTAAAGAAATTAGAATAAAAATACATTTGGTTACTCAAATATATATTTGAATTTTATAATTCTATTTCATTTTTTTTTGGTTACATTTATTATTTATATTTCTTATTATTGTTTGTTGTATTTATTATTTATTGTATTTACTATTTTATTTTATTTTATTCTATTTATGTTTTTCAAAAAAATTCGGACCATTTCTCAATT